ATCCGACGAAGAAGGCACTCGAGAATTTATCGTTACTCGATGTCAATCGAATTCCTGGTTTCCTGGTGAAGAAAACAAAAGAACTCTTGGCTAGGTAAGTCAGCACCTGGATTAAGGCACAGAACCCTTGAAATAACTCAAGGAGCCGTCTAACTTACAACAGCGATGGCGCACAATTCAATCATTTGACTCGATACTCCCTCATAAACAAATCAAAAGATGATGGCGATTTCTACGAGATGCATCCGCAGGTCAAGAGACAAGTCATCCTGCGTATGCCCCCAGAACACCTGAAAGAAAGGGCACAGTGGGTTACCGGCCAACTTCGAGAGTATTTCCCTCGGCAGTCAGTCTTTGGCGCTGAACTAGACGACACAAATCCAAATTGCCCATCATTGATAGCACATGTACTAGCTTTTAAGACGACCATAAATCGTTACAACTGCGATATTCAAGATATCGAGAACCTTGCTAGCTTGTATCTAGATGGCGGCATCTACTCTTGGGCCCGTGGGCTACTCGAGGTCGGACGAGACCTCACCGACGCAGCAAGGACGCTGTGCGGAACAGGCAAAGTTTCTCTGTTCACCAAAGCACAGATATTCTCCTTCCATGCTTCCATCATCTCCGACAGTGGGAGACTCAGGGAGGGCCTCCGCGAATTCGAGTACGCACTCATCTTCAGCATGCGCTACGTTTCCGAAACGGAGGACTCTGAGCCTTCGGAGCCCCTAGCACTACTTTCAAATGCCTATAACAATGTGGCGGCAGCCCATAACCGCCTCGGCAATTTTGAGGAAGCTTCAAGGTACAACAACCAGGCCTTGAGCTTAAAGATGAGTTTGGAAGAACGCGGTCTTCCTATGTCCCACTCCCTCTGTCTAACATACCAAACGATGGCCTATACAAAAGCACAGCAAGGGGACATTGCGGGTTCAGTTTCGTGCTTTGAGAAAGCCATCGAATACGGCTCTGTGTCTGAAGAATCCATTCCGAGATTGGCATTGGCGCAACATAACTTCGCACATCTTAGGCTATTGGAGGGCAATCTTAAAGATGCCTGTGATCTATTCTTTACAGCTTGGGGAACCAGAGCTGAGAAACATGGCGACCACCCAGATACGGGTATTTCACAACACATGCTAGCTCATTGCTATCATAAATTGGGGGGAAAGGAAAACTTGGAGTTTGCTAGGTTTGCTCTACTCTATTTGAAGCCTCAAACAAGGCAGGCTTGACTGACATCACTCACTAGATCGTTATTGCAACAGGCAGTCGTACTGTTCGAGGAGCGACTTTCGGAACCCGACAATAAGAGATTAGCCTGGTCTCTGTTCAAGCTTGCGCTGGTTCAAAATGAACTTGGAGATCTCAAGGCCGGAGAGAACCGTATAAGGGCAGAGGAACTGTATTTCCAGGAAACGGGACATTCCGAAGTCACATTGACCGAGGATCTACTCAATGATTTAGTGCCATATATCTAACGTACTTTAAGGTAGTTAGGGATAGATGATATCGCGCCCTGCGCCTCCACCCCTTTAAACTTAAGCACGAAAAGAAAGAAAAACTCGGCACAATTGCGTATATATCGAAAAATCATACATCACTATTGCAAGATTTGCTTGACAGATGATGTCGCTATATAAAGTGTCGCCGATTTACCTTCATTGTCGTCTGAATACGTTACTCTTCTTCTTTTCTCGAGAAAGTAGAAAATTATGCACAGAATCCATGTTGATCTACGAGTCAAGCAGTGGAAACGCGTTTTCTCAGCTGCATGCACCGTGAAAACCGGGGGAGGGGGGACGTCATAGGATTCCGGCGAAGCCCAGAGCCTACATGAACTCAACCCATCCCATGTCACTGATACCCGGCTTGATTTCCTCTGCAATTCAAAAGTCATTGACACCCTCCTTCCTCTTTCAGCAACACACCCGCATAAAGTCTAGTTGCTGCCACACCTGCTGCAGAGTCCCTTAGACCCGATAGTAGCCTCGCTAAGCCTCAATGTACAGGGTCATTTGGACTCCCAATACATTTCATTCCGAAGTGCACGCTGGAACTTTCTGAAGACCCTTCGCTTCTCCCTCCTACTTAAGAATGGTATCTTTTCGAAGACAGAATTCGGCAGCAACCGCCCAGTCTCTCAAAATTCGTTCGCAGTTCGTTCCGCAGGAGCACCTATCTATTTCCGTGAAATGGATACACAGGAAGACCATAAAACACTAGGGAAGATCGGATACCTGAAGCGGCTTGAACTCTATGGAACAGAAAAGCCGTATCAAATAACGGTCCGCCCGAAGTATGTCCAAGACTCGGACGCGCAGAAGACAAACATTGTTATCGATCCACAGGTCGTCAAGATTACTGATATCATTAATCGACGGGGTGAATTTAGCACGGATATTCAGGGTTTCGAGCTCGCCACTTTTCCCAGTTCATTATCCTCTGATGAACTCCAGGACTTAGACGAGATTGAGTCTCGTTACTATGCCGAAGCCAAGGAATTTCTCATGCGAAGATATAATGCTCACAGAGTGCTCATATTCGATACGACGGTATGCTCAGTCTGTCGTTCATCCAAGATATCAAGTGTAACGCAATATAGATTAGACGCTCGAAACCAGGTCGCAACACGGACACTACCCTCCTCAAGAACCAACAGATTCTAGGGCCATCCATTGACTGTCATGTCGGTAAGTCACCCTAGACTGTCTCCCAAACCTGCTCGAAAGATCTGACTTTAACGACATGACTCTTCGTAGATCAAAGCCCCAGTAGCGTTCGCAAGAGAGTGAGGAAGAACTTTCCTAATGACGCAGACCAGCTATTGGCTCAGCGCGTGCAAGTAGTCAAGTAAGCTGATCTAGACCAGCCCGCGTCTTTAGATCTGACAGACCCTATCACAGCATATGGCGAGCTCTCCGCTTCCCATGTCAAATCCGTCCTTTGGGCTTGTGCGACTACAGATCGACCAGACCTGGAGACTATACACCAGCTGATCTTGTCTCATCCGTTTGGGAAGGCGAGACATTGCAAATTTACCACAACCCTAACCACGAGTGGTGGTTCGCCAGCAAGATGGAAGCGGACGACGTGCTTCTCATCAAAATGTTTGACTCTGAGGGAGAAAGGGAGGGTAACGAAACGGCCATGTGTGAGTACCTTCTAGAATTCTTCTTTTCCATGAGTCAAGTTCTGCTTCTGGTATCGAGTCTTGCGGTCTTACCTAGCATGCACGTGGTTCGATATTTTCTAACAAGCACGCTTCGCAGGTACACCTCATTGCTCTTTCGACTGGGAAGACGCCCCTGAGGGATCGCATGGGCGAGAGAGCATGGAAATCAGAGCAATTATATTTTCTGAACTCTAGGAAGCTTGAGACTTTCAACTTTGGGTAATAATAGAAAGCTCCACACTCATTTGATTGAAACGAATTCACTGTGCAATTTCCAGAAGACTTTATGATATTAATGAGAGTTTTTATATCTTCCCCCTTTCCGCTGCTATCAAGTCATAACAATCTTCTTGGACAACACATGTATTAGAGTAAAGAGTGTTTCTCCATGAAAGAATGTCACGGATAAATTTCATTCCTATCAATATGCGACACGTCCTCGAACCAAGCTTCGTATGGTGCTGAGTATCTAATTTGATTAATCATTGATGGGATGCAGGGTAAGGTGTTAAAACTCACTTGAATCAGCCGGCCTTGTTGACGAAGTCATCGTCGTCGTCTTCATCATCGTCGTCGTCCTCATCAGGATTGGGCTGCTTCGGCTTCGCAGCATTACTCTCCTTCTTGGCGGCTATCTCCGCAGCCTTCCGACGAGCTTCGAGCTCATCCTTTACCCATTTCTTCCACGGCTGAGATCTCTGATCTTCATTTGGGTTGCTAGATACCATGTTGCGTGATGATGTTGAAATATTCAAGCTGACAAAGTTTTAGGGGCGAAGTTTTGATGCAAGACCGCGAAACATTGGCGCTTGAGAGTTTCACAGCCTCGAAAACAGGCCCCGAGGCTTAAGTATCCCTCTGTGTGGTATCATGCTCATAAATAGATCAGAATGCCTTGAGAGCTCTCTTCCAGCATCTGGCCAACATCACGCTCCGAGCTGTTTGCCGATGGTATGCGTTAATGCATCCTGCTTTTGCCATCCTTCCGTATGCACGGGAATATGTTGGAACACGTAGCCTGTTGGTTGTGGGTGTTGTGTCACCACACCGCTCGGCGAATCTGACACAAAGCTACATCGAGAAGGTCATCATATAATTTCATCGGGCGCGGGTGAAACAGACCACAGCTATCTTGTATGGCTGTTCTAGGTTCCTGCAGTTGATCTCAATCAACCACACAGTCTCTGATTGGTGAAGCGTAACTGACAGTCTTCTTTCATTGACTGGAGCCCCGCACACCTTTTACGGCAGTAATGTCACACTGTGGATGCGTGTGCCTTCGGGCATTTGGGACAATTTGAGGGGATGGAATATTCGCAGCCTGCCTTGAATGTGCATCAGGACTGAGATATCATAACTGCAGCCAGCTGGTTGTCAGAAACTGTGATCCAAGCCTTGGAATAATTTCGTCTGATTGGATGGCTGACGTACCCGAACTGCATGCTCCTTCCATTGGGGTCAAGTATAGGTACTTTTATGAACACACAGCAATCATTCCTTCCTCTGAAGCCAAGGTATGCACAGGCAGCCACGCAGCCTGATTATCTGGTGCCACCTGCCTGTCTTACAATTCACAACAAATATCCCTGTAAGAGGCAATACCTACCTACCCATCATTGGGACATTCCCCTCCTTCTCACGCAGACAATGATTTTCGACCGCACCAAACGCAAGGTTCTGAGTGGCAATCCCGACCCCGTCCAAATTCTCACCCTCTCCTGATCTTTCGTTAACAAGACTTCTTATGTGTGACCTTTTCGGCCGCCTCTTTCGTCCCCTGCAGGGCTCTACCAGTAGCTACCCTCAGCGAGTTCCCGCAACCATGACCGCGAAAATCGAGGAAGTGATCCGGTCACGTCTTGGCGTAGTGGAGGAAATACTGGAAATCACACATCAGCCTGCTTTGTCGATGGGCGTCATTCATCATGGGAAAGAAGTCTTTAGACACAATCGGGGCATTATCAACAATGAGACTGGCCAAACACCAAACAGCGATACTCTGTACTGCATTGCATCCCTTTCGAAAGCCTTCGTTTCTGCCGCTATAGACATTCTCGTCCAACGTCAGGAGCTGAGTTGGGACACAACAGTGGCCCAAGTTCTTCCAGGGTATGGTCGATATGATCAAGATGCAATGCTCAATGGCATGACGCTTCGAGATATCTGCTCTCATCGGACTGGCCTTCATGGTCTAGACGAAATAATTCAGGGCATGGACGGGCGTATCCTCCTTCCGAAAAGCGAGGTTGTCAATATCGTCAACGCCCTGCCCAAAAAGTTCGGATTTCGGACAGACTTCCACTACAACAACGCCCTATTCGAATTGGCCGGTGCAATAATTGAACGAATTTCTGGATCCCAGACCTGGGGACACTTTCTCAAGGAAGAGCTGTTCGACCCACTAGAGATGAAGCGGACAACGGCCTTTCGCAACGTCCACAAGACCGACGACAACATTGCTACGCCATACATGTGTCTGACAGACGGCTCGCTATGCAAAATAGCACCCACCGAGCTATCTGCGGATTCTATGAACGGTGGCTCTGGAGGACTCCGCAGCTCCGTGAATGATCTGCTCAAGTGGTGTTCCAGCCTGTTGGCATCCTTTGATGAGAAAAGCACCGCCAACCCCATTCGTCACAGATCACCAATCTTTGATCGCGCCAATATGGCCAATCCGAGCTCTGTTGAAGATGGCGACTACTGCACCGGGTGGTGCTATCACCAAACCCCCTCGAAGCTGGGATTAATCTCCCCTAATCGAAGCCTGCTCTCACCAGTTCTCGGGACCAATTCTGAATCCTTACTCGTCTACGGCCACCAAGGCGACGTTCCCGGGTATACGTGTTCCTTGTATCTTATCCCAAAGACTCAGTCTGCTATTGTCGTCCTATCCAACGGTACTGGCCTCTCTGACGCTACCGACTGGATTGCCCAGGATATCCTCCAGGCGATGTACAGCCTGAAGCCAACCGTGGATTTTGTCTTCAATGCGCATCAGGCATCCATTCTATACAAGACCACGTTCAAGAGGCTGTTTCAGTTGCCTCTCGAGGAACATAGAAAGATGGGTACGCCTACTCCGCCCTTGGACGACTTCACTGGGGAGTATGTAATGGAGAACCTGGACATCGCCACTCTCAACATCAAAGCTGGCCCGGAAACCTCATCAACTGGTCTTCGAATGAGAGTCAATGGTCTCGCGGACCAGGAGTACTACTTGTGGCATTATCATGTGGACGTATGGTGTTATCTTCCGGAGAGCGCTGACCAATGTTTGAGACGTGGTCTCGACAGAAGTGACTGGACCTCATACCTTATCTCATTTCAGAGGGATGCAGAAGGTCAAGTCGAGAAGTTGGGATGGGATATGTGTGGTGTGAGTGTTGTTTTCTACAAACGAAAATGAGATTATGGGAGCACTGTTGAATCTTGATGGATGGTGAGAGAATGGAATATGAAGCTGGTGACGGGAAGCAAGGATGAAAAGGCGCAGCAAAGGTCGTAGTTACGTTAATTAACTTCAATTGACAAGACAACCGCCCAAGCCGGGATATCGATCTATAGCTTCTATACACAACTCTCGCCAGAACAACTCCCATGAACCCAAAACGCCATCTAAACCATCTTCTATCCTTTGCTCTGAAATAACCAAGTCTAAATTCGAAGAACAGCAATACCGGAGATAGTGCGATTATCGTCAGAGAAGATCTTCTTCTTCTCAGATCCATCCACATTGCAGCGATAAATGCTGCCGCCAAGATCGCTGAAGTAAACATGTCCGTTCTCCTGGTCCAGCTTGACACCGATCGCCTCATTGAGATGTCTCACCAAGATCTCATACTTCTTGGACCCCTCAGACAGCAACAACAATCCCGTCATAGGATCGATATTCGCCCGGTTGAGCGTGTTGCCCTTGGGAATCTCTCCACGATCAGTCCAGAAAATAGTATGTGTCTCCTCGTCAACCTCCAAGTCGATCGGCTCAGGCAAGTCGCCGAGGAAACACTCGATATCATCTCTCGTCTCAGCCGTCTTGCCGGCCGGCATCTCGATGTTTGCGCAGAAGATGCGGCCCTGTCCGGACTTTGGCGCACCCTTTTGGGTCCAGTAGAACTTGCCCAGCTTTGGCGCGACGGAGATACCGACACACCACGTTTTCAAATCTGAGGCGTCGTTGCCGCCGATGATGAGGGTCTCGAGGTCGCTTCCGTCAAGATTGGAGCGGTAGACTTTCATACCCTCGCGGTCGCAGAAGTAAATCTTCTTCGAGGCCGGTTCGATGACGAGTTGTTTGGGCGTGTTGATGGTACCAGGCTCGAAGAGGGACTTGACGTCTGTGCCATCGATGTTCGAGGAAAGGACGGCGCCGTCTTGCTTGCCTGGTGTGCCCATACAGGTCCAAATCATGCGCTGAGTGTCGTTGGCGTCAATGTCGATGCCGTCGGGGACGTGTTGCCGGTCGACCAGGACGCGCTCTAGTTTGCCCTCCGACGAGAGCTGGAGGACTTGTCCGGAGGCTGAAGCGTCGTTTTCGTTCGCCAAGCCGAGGTCGAGGGCGACGATCTTGGGGAGATGGGGGTAAAGACCACCCTTTGCTGACTTGTTGCCGAGACGGCCCTTGGAGATGTACTCGCGTTGCAGGAAGTCGACTGTGTTCTCGGGAGACAGGCCGCGCTCCTTGACGTAGTGGTCTTCGATGAAAGCGACAGTGTCGAGACCAACCTCTGTTGTTTCCATTAGTCACTCGATCTGTGTCAGACAGATTGATGAATGTTGCTCTTACCGTCCATCATCGTGCAAGGACCCTTGCCGTGCTTGCTGAGCTCGTAAAACAAGGTATCAATCTCCTCGGGGCTCGACACGCCTTCAGCGAGAATCGACAATGTCTCTCTCTTAATCGCAGCCCACAACCGGTTGAAAACAAAGCCGGTAGACTCCTTGCGCGCAGTAAACGGTCTCGTTCCAACCTCCTTCTGCCTCTCCGTCAAGAAGGGGAAGATCTCCGGGTTCGTGAAGCCATCCGTCATCAGCTCGACAACCATGTTGTGTGGGGGCATGTAGTAATGTGTGTTCATGATGCGTGTCTTGGTCTCATCCCCCACTTTGCCGAGCATTTCTGAAGATCTGTACGACGAAGAGTTGCTGGCGAGGATGGCGTCTGCGGGGGCGTGAGCCTCCAAGTCGGCAAAGGTGTCCGTCTTGATTTGGATCCGTTCGGGGACGGCTTCGATTACGAGCCAGGCATTTGCGACGGCGGTTTCGAGATCAGTGAAGACTTGGACGGTCCCAGCGCGCTTGCGGCCTGATGCTGGGTATGTGTCGACATTTTGCTTAACGTAGTCCAGGCAGGGCTGGTGTTGCTTGAGGTCGGGCTCGCGGACCTGGACGTTGTAGCCGCCGGATGCCCATGTGCAGGCTGATATGGTACGTCAGGATATCGTTCAAGAAGTGTGCTCAGGAGTGAACCGAACTTACCAATGCGACGGCCGAGTACGCCGCCTCCCAGCACAGCAACCGGGCGGTCGCCGTAGTTTGATGGTAGTGAAGTCATTGATGTGTTGGAAATATGATAGTTGACGATTAAAGTAAGGGTCTAGGGTCTAATGATGTAAGATCTACAGTACTGAATGACACCTCAGAAAGCCAAGACGGCAGATGAACTTATATATGCATCGAAGACGGGGCTGCAGATCAGTCTAGAAGCTAGAGAAAGCCTCCGTCAAACAATTCGGCGGAGCACATCGTCATTCCCCTGAGCGCTCGCAAGTCGCCGAGGTTGCCGGAGACCCGTCAAGTCGGTCATCGTGGGTCCCGATAACGAGCCTGCAATCCTTAGTAAGTGGTCTTGAGCGGTCTGGTTGGTGGCGCGAAGCAAACAGCAGAGGGATAAACGCATTGACGGCTGTGGGTATGACGCAAGTTTCGATGATGGGCCTTGGACTATGAATCGGGTTTCGGTGCCGATCGCGGGTCGGTGTCGCCGGTACAGGATCCACTTTAATATTGAAAACGTTGATTTCCCATATGGAAGTCAAAAGGCCCGTTGAGGTGTCGAGAACAACCTGGATGATGATGGGACCAAGCTATGATAAGAACAACGTCAATTCCGTCTTATCATAATGAGCGCGAAACAGCGAGATTGAGCTGCTTTACGAGCAGACGCTACCTTTGGTTTGGGAAAAAGAGTTACATCTCAAATCCGTCACCTCGGCACTTGGTGGGGCGGGCCCGTTCTTTTAGTTCCGGCCTCGGCAGCCGCAAGCTTGTAAAGTGGGCCCGTCAGCTCCCGGCCTCGGCAATTCCAAGAATATCTGTCAGGGTCCGCATCGGTCTCGCTCTGGATGGAAGGGGTCTCTCTGAAAGTGCCGTGCGACGTGGGGGCAGTTTGAATTATTTCTGATCAGGTGCGGCCCTTATTCCGTTGCTTGCGGTCTGTCCCGATTCGAAATACATCCCTATCCTCCCCGGATTCCGTTTACTTCGGTGTTCAGCAGCATTTCTGCTTTTGACCTCCACACGGCTTGCCTTCGAATAGACTCAAGACACAGGGAACCTCAAGAGAAGTCATGGTCATCTTGCGCTGTGTCAAGCAATGGCCTGGGCTTAAAGTCACGGTCGACCAATCTTAGCTGCTCATCAAGACATTTCCATCAACCGCAAGAAATCATCATGAATCCAGTTTTCAACGAAAGGCGCAATAAGGAACTCTTGATTTTCACTATAGCGTCATCTTCTGTAGCCAGTGAATACAATGTCTCAACCATTTTCCGCACGCTTCAGTACTCTCAGACTTGCTCATCGTCATCCTTCGCAATAGGTCCCTTGGTGATGGATCCAGTCTCCCCCGCCTCAGCATTGAGCACACGCCGCTTTTCTTCCCTATGCGTGAGCAGGGTGAGCCCACTGGTCCAGACAATCAAGGCAATCGAGCTGGCGATCATGGCCCACATGCCCCTCTGCAGTCCCAAATATCAGCACACGTTTCATTCCCAACAGTCTGGTTCTCGAACCCTCACCGGGCAGAAAAAACAAAAGGGTTACTTACGGTAAACCATGGTGCCATTGAAGCGCCGTAGAAGATGATACTCCACCACGCGTTGACGGCGTTACTGCCCAGATTCATACCCGCGAGAACGACACCACGGAAGATGCCCTCCTCGTACCTCATCGCATCATTGCACCATGCGAAGAACGTTGCCTGGCAAGCATACACAGCACCAGCCCAGTAGTACGCGCCAAACACGACCGATGTCGACGCCGCGCTCGTCGGGTCCCTGGCTGCAACCAGAACCATCGCAGACGTCGCCACACCAGTGATGCCGATGAAGTACGCGACGAGATACCGCTTCCCGCCTAGGAAATCCGTCAAAGTCGCCCAGAAGAGTGTCGAGACGATGCCGACGGCGGGTACGCCGGTGGGATAGTTGTTGAGCTGGGCGACGGTGTACTTATGCGTGGGGTGGCTTTTCATGTACAGACCCAACAGGGAATTTGTGCTAAAGGACTCTGTCTCGCCGGCAATGATCCAAAGCATGACGAAACCCCACCAGTACCACGACGTGAGCACCTTCTTCGCGAAGCGGAACGTCAGCGGCGAGCGCTCCTGGATCTCGGGCACGCGAGACCGCGCCAGGACCTTTTCCTCTTCCGTGAAGTAGAACGCCGTCGTCGTGTGGGGCGTATCGGGGAAGCATACGAAGCCGTAGATCGCGACAGGTACAGTCATCAGTCCGTCAATGATGAAGAGCCAGCGCCAGCCGGAGAGGCCGTGCAGACCGTTCATGCTGCTGTGTATGCCCGTCTGAATGAAGCCGCCGAAGAAGGTGCCCGCGAGGCCGGAGGCCGTGAAGATGCCGCTGCGCTTGCCGAGCTCGCGCTCCGTGTACCACGCGCCGAGGATGTAGTGCGTTCCGACAAAGGTCGAGGCCTCTGCTATGCCTTGGAAGAAGCGGATGGCCATGATGGATTGCGGGCTGTGCACGCTGGCGGTGCACATTGTCAGGCCGCCCCAGATGATCATCATGAGGGGGAACCAGATGCGCGGTTTGACGTAGTGGAGGGACAGGTTGGATGGGATCTGTCCGATAACGTAGCTGGACGGTTTGTCAGTTGTTGTCAAGGAGGAGTGAGAAGTGCAATCCGATGACAAGCTCTAAACTTACCCGACTGTGAAGCATGTATTGATTTCGTTGAGTTGATTCCCCACGAAGCCAAGCTCCTCCTTCATACCGGATACGTATGCATTGTTCAGATTGGTACGGTCAAGCTAAAAGGACCTATTAGAAACTTTGTGCTCATCACGAACACCAGCAGAAATCTGGGAAGAGGCATTGACTCACGTAGTTGACCAGGTAACTCAAGCAACAAAACGTCAAGATGAAGAAGTCAATCTTGGAAACGAGCTTC